TGTATGATTTATCCAGAGCTCTTGGTTTTCCCTCTAGAACCTGTTCCACTGGGCTGACTCCATCTCAATATCTGGTATGTCCCACCATCCTTATCTTTCAAATAAAGAAATCTATGGACTTTTATGACATACCTATCACTTTTCATCACCTCAGGCCCACTCCCATTACCAAGCAGTCACACAGTCATATTTGCTCCCTGACAAGTATATCCAGAATTTGTCCACTCTCACTATGCCTGTGCCTATTAGTTACTCTGGGCTCTCATCATTTCTCAAAGCCTGAATGGTTTCCCTGTTTCTATTCTTGCAGCTCCCCAAACCATTCTCTAGCCAGGAGCCACAGTGACCTTTTCTCAAAACAGGCAAATAAATATAGCACTCCCCTGTTCAAAATAATCCAACAATCTCCATTCTCATTTACACAAGAAAAGTAGAAAGACCTTAGAATTAGGAGCTCTGTTTCTGCTACTTGAACACACACACACACGGACGCCATCTTCTTTGCTCACTTTAATTTGCTATCTTTAGACAGAAACAAAGGCAGGTCTATCTCTGATGTGGCGATTATACAGCTGGAAGATATGTACATTAGATCACCAAACTCTGACTGAGCCTCCACAGGGTCCTTTCAAACTGCTATGTATCTTCCAGTTGACACACAATTAAAACTGACACCTGAAGACAAGTGTGGTTTTGTGGTCCAATCCTCTAATAAATCAGAATATTGATCTTTCAGTAGTATCTCCCTTCATAATTTTTGGGAAAGACTGACTTTTTATTATAGTAATTTGTTTTTACAACATTCTGTGCATTTTTCCATCTCAGTTTTAATCCCTGTGGGCTTCCCATCACTAAATCACCTGTGTGCCATCACCATAGTCCTGTGCATTTCCCCTCCCTCATTTTTAATCCCATTTCCCGCTCCATCCCTGTAAAATGTCTCTAATATGTAGCTGTTCATTATTATTTTTGGGGAAAGACTAAATTTTGACAGTGAGAATAACATCCTGGAAAGAATAGCATTTTTCAGGATAAACAACTAATTTATATACAAGCTTTATATTTGGTCCACTGTATGCTCAAATCATTTTTCAATAAGTTTTCCAATTAAAATATACACCACTTTGTGATTTAATACATTTTGATTGTCACGACTAAACCATATGGGTGAAGCATTTAAATAACTGGTAACATACAAGCCAATCACAGCCTACATGTTTGGTGATCTTTTGATAAATGTGTCCATGGATTTTTTAGTGAGGTATAGAGATGTTCTCAGTGCTTAACTCGTTATGCATCGATTCATAAAAGTGGTTGCTGCACCATATAAAAACAGTATGTTAGGGCCCTCTCTGGTGGCGCAGGGAATTAAAGCACAACACTAAGAAGCTAAAGCTACTTCACCACGAGTTCAATCCCCTCCTAGGAGGTGACCCACATGGCGCAGCAGACCTCTCCTGACCCACCCATTGCTCCCCTCGATGTACTACTCAATCTGCCTGTTCTGCTCCCCACTCTGTCTCTGGTGAATCCTCTCACTATTCCTGCATTTCTGGCCTGTATCCTAATTCTGTATG